ATGAGATTCCAAACAGTTTTCTCAGTCTTTGAAACTGATCTGAGTATTATTAATGGCTATTTTTAACGGTTATCGATTCATTTTTTTTAGTGAAGGTCATAACCTTGAGAAGCTCGATGTGTTGATCACTTTTTTCTAGACACTCAAAACTAAAGTATTGTTTCTTATCTAATGCTGCGTTTATCAGCATAGCGATCTGTAAAGTTGTTGTGAACAAATCAGGCGCAATTTGGTCACTTCATCCCTTGATGTGCTACTTATTTAAAGGAAGAAAAAATTCACGCGTCAAAATTTGGGCAGCAAAGCCTACCTATTCTTCAAATGTTTTGGTTGTTGTCTATTGCAAGCTGAAAAACAGCGGCAATCTTCATTTTGTTTTTAAAATTTACGCCAATCACCAAACATTATTTTCAAGGAAAATTATCCATTGTTGGCAAACTGAAGATAACCATGAACAACTGTAAATTGTAGGTAATTATCCGTAACGTTAACACGAGTCTATTTTTGGTCCAATCGGTTGTTTTCGCCAGGTACGGTAAGACATAATTGATGAAACTAAAACACTTGATTCGAATCTGCCGGTTCAATAAATTATTGCCAGCTTTCAGGGCACCACATGTGGGATTTGTCAATTACAGGGATGTGAGAAGGCAGCAATATTAGGAAACCAGGCTTTCTATTGATCTTATACTACCATGGTGGAAGCTTTCCAAGGGAATGCATGTTAATTGACATTCCTTTGCCCAAAATTTTTTTCTTGCCACTCATTATTCCGTAAGGAAAACAAGTGCAAGGTGTACCTCCTTTTACAAGTCATATCTACAACTAATAACATCTTCTGATAAAGGACGTACTTAAAGTCATTTGTTATATGTAATGCGGCTATTTGGAGCTGTGCAGGTTTTTCAGCCTGCGCAGTTAGTAACACAACCCAATGCAGGTTTTGTACCAAGTGCGCAGTGTACATTTGACAGGAATAATTTCTTGAACATTCGAATAAATTCGCATTTGAATCATTCGAAAGTTCGAATACTCGAAGTACAAATTCGCGAATAATGATCCGAATACTTAAAATCATTCCGAATAGTTCGAAAATTCGAATATTCGAGAGTCCCAGACTTTGATTTATTCGAATCTTCAAAATCTTCAGTTTTCAAGTCATTCAAAAATTCGAATATTCGACGGACAGGAATTCTCGAACATTGGAACAAACCACATCCGAACACGTAAACGTGATATTCGTTGTATATAACACGAAAATTTGGACTCAAATCCCAATGTTGCAGGACCCTCTTGGGATCAT